GAGGGAGCGGGGAGTGGGGAGGGAGGGGAAAAATGAGGAGCTGATGCCAGGGGCTTAGGTGTAGAGCAAATGTTTTGAGAATGATGAGGGCAATGTACACATGTGCTTTACACAATTGATGTATGTATGGATTGCGATGAGTTGTATGAGCCCCTAATAAAACGATTTTAAAAATTATTTAAGAAAGAAAGAACCAAAATGAATGCCAGAAGATGGTCTGAAACTTCATCTTGAAACAGAGCAGCTACCATGAATGGAAGAAACAATAATCGAAAAGAACAGAACAGAAGATTCAAAGCACACCTAGAGAAGACAAACTAAAGCATTGTAATGAAACATGCAGACCTGAAATTAGAAAACAAATGGGAACAGCATGCTTGGCATTTCTCATGACTGAAAAAAAAGTCCAAGCCTCAAGCTGCAACATTGATGGATTCTATGGGCAAAGTATTCAATGATGCAGGAAGTTCCCAAAGAAGATGGAATACACAGACTCAACATACCAAAAAGAAATGGTTGTGGTAGTTACATAATCTGTTGTTAATTTGAGACTATTAAGAGTGAATGGGGTGGAGTTTAATCTGTCAATGAGGTCACAGCTTGATGACCTCATTTGATGGCACTATGGAGATAAATAGCTCACTGGAGGCGGGATATATACACTCCCTCCCTGTGAGCTATCCCTGTTGACAAGCCACATTGAGACACACTGATAGAGCCAGAGCCCTGGAGCTGGAGGAGCCATCTGGAGCCCACTCCAGCGCTGAGATGCTTCTACTGGCACTGGATCCATACTTTCCACCCACGGCCTGTGATCTTCCTGCATTAGGCGGCATTGCATGTGTTGTGAGAGTTTGAAGAGGAACTTATCAGACATATGGGCTAATATCAGACTTATGGACTTGATCTGAACTGGGTTGGGATGCTTTCTTCATATACAAATACTCTTTATATAAAGCTCTTTCTTAGACACATATGCGTGTCTATGAATTTGTTTCTTTAGTCTACCCAGACTACCAACTGGTTAGTGTTCAACCATTTCAGGTTGCATATGTGTGAAAAGCAATGGTATTAAAGGGTAAATCCAAGCTACACTGAAGGCATTGGCAAAAACAAAGCTCTAGCCCTATAACGCCGAGCGCCACGTTTTCGTAACATTTAATTAAAACGTATCTGGTACCGAAATTATAAAGCCTTTGGAGCCGATGAAGATGTTGATGAAATCGTC